CCCCAAAACCCCAAAACCCCAAAACCCCTCACTGTAAAGATCAAAGTTTAGTGATTATTTTGTTTAAATCTAGAATTAAAGTTTAATTGTAAAGCTTTAAATAAGTTAAGATAAAAATGCCCCCTGCTAGTATGTAGTCTGTCATTAAGAAGTCGAATCAACATGCTACGATGGCTAAAAATCGCAAGTTGTTTTCAAATAAATCTGAGGACTTCTATTTCTGCATTGCCTTTATTGTGATCGTTGTTGGTATTGCTGTGGTGATCACATATTCTATGAAGAATTCACAGGAAAGATATCTAAAATCTGACTATTTTCTCTAGATCAACAATATCATGTATGGAATTCAAAAAGAGAACGGAACTGCAATGCTTATAAGTTTTAAGCCCAAATTCTTAAAGAAGGGCAAGACTGCGCTGATCCAACTTGATGATGTGTTTGATACAGCTAAGAATCAATCAAAGGCTCTAAATATGTCATATGAATTGCTTAAATACTCTAAAAATGAAGCCATGATACAACTTAAATTGTCTAATTAAACTGAAAACGATGAAATTTTCTATCAGAACTTCGATAAATTTTTGAAATTCTTGAAAAAGTAAAAGAAGATTTTGAACATAGAATACAGACATTTTAATTCAACTGTTAACCCCAGGAATAAATCATAGTATTTAATTGCTCAAGGGACAAAGTCAAAAGACACTTTAGACTATAGAATGAGATTTCACAGTGGATGGTATACTTTCATGGAATAGGAACTTAAAAATGCAACTGCTAAATTCACTAAACAAGAACAGAAAATCTAATATTAACTTAGCATTGAGAGCCTGGGCAAGATGTGTCAAGACTTTTGTGATATCTTCGAGGTGTTTACGTATGACGAATATGAAGAGGATAGAGAAAATTAATTATAGACGAAGTATTATTAAGATCAGAGAAATCAAAAATATGAAGAAATAGATCAAATCTAGACAGATATAGGTAGTAGTGATATTGAAAATGACTTTGAAAATGATAACGATGAAATTAATCAACAGCAGCAACAGTAACCATTGCAAGTAAATACTGATGAGTTTTGAATGTTTTAATTAAAATTAATCTTAATATTGTAGTTTTAATACTGCTATTGATATATAATAGAGTTCTGTTGGGGCTACCATCTATAAGTAAATTCTTTGGCTTTCATTAAAACCATAATACCTCAATATTCTTCTAAACTTTTAAGGAGAGATTCGTACGATAAATTATGATAAGAATCACAACTTCTCTCCAATTTCTCTTGAATAAGGTCCACTACTTCCTGATCATCAATCTCTTTTGAGATTGTCAAAGCATCCATGTTTTATTTGTCGAGTAAGTCGAGTCTAATCGGAGTCTCATAAAGTAGGTAGTCTATGACGTCAAGATGACCGCCAAATATTGCAAAAATTAGCGAGTTCCATCCATTTTAATTAGTATTATTTACATCAGCGTTAAGCTGTTCTACAAGGTATTATACTATAGCAATCTATCCATAAAAGCAAGCAGCATGAAGCGCCGTCCAACCGAATTTATTAAGAGGCTTCTCAATTGAAGTATTCATTTGGTCTTGGGAGCTGTTGCTTGAAGTAGAAGAGTCAAAAAATTCTCCACTCTAAAGGGATATTTCTGAATTTTTTCTAAGAACTTTTTCAAAGATCAATTTAGCATTTTCAAGGTTGCCAGCAACAATGAGCTTCCAAAGCCTCTAAGGTCTAATATCGTCTTTTAGTCCGACTGCTGATTGCTTTTCAATGATTTTCTGATACATATCGATGTTAATAGTCATTAACAAAAAACAGGCAAGCTGGTTATGATTTTTCTTTGTTTATTTAAATTGATTATTTTTAAGCACTCGATTTTAGATTTATTTGCAATTAATCTATAAAATATATGCAGGCTTTGGAAAATTTTAATGACTATTCTGGTTTTTTATTATTAGTAATTATTGAATATACTCAGATTAATTGGAGATTGCTTATTCACGGGGTTTTGGGGTTTTGGGGTTTTGGGGTTTTGGGG